AGTATACTCGTCCGGTCAAACCCAACTTTTTCTTTTATTATTTGTGCCAGTCAACAATGACAAAGTAATTGGGGATGGAGGGAGTACTTGGTCCAACCGAAATGTTCTTTCAATGAACGGTTGGAATGTCTTTTGAAAGGAAAAGGTGCAGCGGCTCTTTTAAAATACATGTACATTAAATAAAGAAATTTACAATCCCATTATTTAAATAAAAGAATTTCTTGTGCATGCAAATATACACACCCCGTAAAGGCATCTGCAATATGCATCTCTTAATTTTAAGCTTAATTCGTGTATTTGAAAATAGAGCTAAGAGAGCATATACATAATAAAGTATTATTATCATCAAACCACAATTACACGTGTACATACATGTGGTGTTCATAATAATAATAATCATTACAATTGAAAATTCCTTTAACACCATTTTGATATTACAAAACATTTATTTATAAAATGTTAAGGACCATGTATAAAACTATTTGAGCTGAATTTTCCAATAAATCTCCAACATGATAACAGTGAATTCTATTAAATGTTTTGAGTAACTAATGTACTGGCGATTAGTAAAATGATCTTGGGTTAAATGGCTATTTGCAATCGGCAGATGACTTGTTAAATGACTTGTAAGGACATCAATTATTTTTTGTAATTGTATATACGTATCATACATTCTTTTAACTAGTATTATACCCGTGCGATGCACAGGACATAATATTTTCAAAATTTTATTGACTACTCCGTATTTTTTATAAATTGAATTGTCAATATTGTAAAATCATCAATAATTGCTTTATAATCAATCGTTTCTAAGATCACATGTGCAATGTTTAAAATTGCTAATCCATTAAGTTTTTTGAGGCATGATAGATAATTGGAATGCTGTTTGAGAATTGGGAGGCACTGGCAGCCCAAAGACAATAATATAAATTGGTAATTTTGTAATAAAAAATAATAAAAGGTCTTAAAGGCTAAAAAGATGTGAAGAGACGTGTTTTTATTGATTTAACAACAAATGTGTTGACTGAAAACCAATTCTATTTAAAAATCAAAACTAAATTTACATTCTTTTTTAAAATTCTATTTTAAGACTTTTTACTTATGTTTTAAAACTTTCAAATAGTCAACAAAAATTACACATTAGGCCTAATTAATTAATTGAAATTATAAATAAAAAAGAAGCCTACTCGGATTTCATATAAAGAAAAAAAACTTAGGCCTAATTTTCTTTCTACTTTTTTCGGGCCTAGGGCGGTCTCCCCTGCTGCCCTTCCCCTAGGACCATCTATGAATCGGGGAGACTGTGGTCACGTGGTAGCATTCCTCCAATTGATTGCAACAGCCTAATCATGAAGGTTTCTGGAAGACTATACTCAGCTTTAATGTTCATCAACTCCGAAACGGCAGATAGATGAGAGTATCTCTCACAATCAGCATACAGAGGTTGATCGGCAGCTTTTAGAACATCTTGAAATCTCTCAGCTAAACCTTCAATATGAGGGACATGAGAATTCAGATTTTCATCCACATATGGATGATACGAGGTCGAGGCTTCAGGAGGATCGTTAAATGGTTGTGGGGGATTAAACTGAGACGTCGAGAAACCGTATACATCATATACCATTCTTTTGTCCCAATTCATTTGAGCATAATCTCCTCACTCACTCATCTCGTTAGGGATGTTACGAGACGAACGTACTGGTTGTGGTAAAAGTGATGGATCGAAAGGTTCGTCATGAGAAATCCAATTGTAATAATTGTCAACGAAACCTTTTTCGTACAAATGCCACACAACCTCGTCGGGGTCTCTAAATTTGAGATTTTTACACTTGACACATGAACATCTGATTCTATCAACATCCATATGATCCTTATGTTCAAGTGCAAATTTAATAAACTCTTGAATTCCTTCAAAATATTGAGGTCGCATTCCTCTTTTTTCGCCATGTTTATCAAACATCCAACTTCTATTTTGTCTATACATAATGCCTGAATATTATAATAAAAAAATTTAATTGAATATTATAAAAACTACAAATTATAAACATTAATTAATCATAACTAAAAGCAATATGTTTGTGACATTAATCATTTCAATTAACTAACTTTTGAATCATAACTAATTAACATTTACGAACATTAATATAATACATTTCACTAAAGTTCGCTAAATGTAATCATTAATCATTTAAATTATTAACTAATTACACACTAATCATTTAATTATTAACTAATTCATAATATTTAGGAAAATTAATATATTAAATTTCACTATAACATTAATTAACTAACGTTCAATTAATGTTATTAATAATTAACTAAAAACAAAACATTAATGGCATTAATCATTTAAATTAATAACTAATTCCCAATATTAGGATTTTAACACTAATATACACTAAATTATTACGTTAATGGAATTACTTCAGAATACTAAAATTATGAAAATCTAATAATACACAATAAATAATTAACGAACATACATGTAAATGAAATGAAATTCAAATAATTCAAATTTAAATCCATTTCAACTAATATTTAAATTTAATTAATATTATCGATTTAAATCCTAAATTAAGCGTATTGCCTAATAATATTATCAATTCAACATGAATAATATTATCATTTCAATTAAATAATATTTACATTTAACTAATAATTCACACTAAACTTCAATCCTAACTTAAATCTCTATAAATCCTAAATTAGGCATTAAAAATAATTGCTAATGTAATAAACAAAGCTAATAATTTTATAATCCATTTTCAATTAACTAATATTATAATTTAACTAAATTACGTTTATAGTTAAATATATTGTTAATAAATTAACAACCTAACTTAAATCACTATAAATCCTAAATTAGGTATTAAAAATAATTGCTAATATAATAAACAAACCTAATAATTTTATAATCCATTTTCAATTAACTAATATTAAAATTTAACTAAATTACATTTAGATTTAAATATATTGTTAATAAATTAACAACCTCACTAATTTAATAATTTTAATTATTTAAAATGAAAAAGTTAATACTTATTAAAAAAAATACATAATTGAAATGACATACCGGTTGTGGGATCCCGAAGTGAAGAAAGTTGTACGAAGCTGAGATGTTGTATTTCATGAAAATGAGTTTCATGAATGTGCCCCAATCATCAGCACACAACATACTCCAGAAGACGAAGTGCATGTATCATCAAACATTCCTCTCGGCGACGAGGAGATGCATGATACTACTGAACAAGAGAGTGATGGTTCAGTAAGTGATGATGATGCTCACGGTGATGATATTCCTCAGCAGGGGGGGCTTTCATCTGAAGACGAATCTGAAGGTATTCATGTTCGACATTCTATGCGAGGCATAGTTCCACAGAGAAAGTATTCCACATCCGAATGAATACTTGTTGCCAGCGAGGGGGATCCAGCAAGCATCGCAGGAATGAGATAAACAAAGAAAAAGGTGGAGGGAGAGACTTGTGGGGAATTTCCACCCTCTTTCTTGGAAGTTGCCAAGAGGCATCTCACACCTTCTTGGAAGGAGCTCTCCAACAAATGAAAATGGGAAGAAGATATGGAGAAGATGGAAGCACTACCTCTTGTCTCCAAACAAGCCCTATAAATAGAGTGTTCTATTGTTGTTCATATCATCAGTTTAGAAAGTGAGAAAAGTGTGTGAAGAGTGAAATACACTTAGAGTAGAAGTGTATTGGTGAGAATTGGTTTTTTGTAATAGTTGAGTGTGAGAGTTTGCTCCTCCTATTGTAATTATGTTCTTGATATTGAATAGAAGAATTTTCCAATTCCAACAAAATGAAGTGGAGAAGATAAAATGAAAGAAGGTGTCTTCTACTTTTTAACTTGAGGGCCAGTTTTTTTTTTTTTTGAAAGGAACTTGAGGGGAGTTGAGTTCTAGTTTGATAACCCCGATTCTCATCTTACCAACGCTGTTTATAGCCAATGAATAGACCAGATTGACCTAGGTCGATGCCTAGTTTTGGGGATGTCCTGGCATATATCCCAAAAAAGGATGACACCTCATCGTTGAGGGTTCCCCAACACTGACCTGACAGTTAGATGGGAGGATGTAAATTGGACTTTAATCACAAGTGATGGATAGAGAGTGTGCTCTGATCCTGAACTCGTAAAGACTCTGTGCATTTTTAGCATAGTAACTTCTCATCGCAGTTGTTAGGATTTGAATACGAGATTTATCCCTTGTGGCACCCCCTCCCAGTTGAGCATATATCCCATATTAGTATATTACCCATATATATTATGTCCAATCAAGATTTTTACAATAAGCGGTGAGAACTTATGGATATTCATTGATTGCTGGGTCCAACATGCATTGATAAAGCTCTTAGTTGGATGTTGTGGTTCTACTCAAAGAGTTGTACTATACGTCGTAACTACTTAAGGTCCACTTGATTCCAAGATATTTTGAATTAAAGGGTGGGATATATGAGAATAGGTCAAACCAAAGTCTTATTAATATATGCAAAATGTTGAATCTCCAACCTCAAGGGCCCACGCCCCGAACGTCACAACATGTCGGATCGAGGATATAAATGACGGTGACTCAATCAATTATAACGGTGGTTGGTCTTATATATATCCGTGCGCACGAGAGGCCAACTCAGCACATAGAAGTTGTTACATCCACACGGCCGCTCGGATTTTGATCCTTGATCATTCTCCAACTTTCCCACCGCTTTACTAGTTGAGTTACCGATGCAGGTACAAAGTGTGATTAATGCTGTTGAAAGTAGATATCATTCATTTACCCAATGAAATAGACCTTAACTAGTTGGCTGTTATGCTCGGAGTGAGTGTCCTTTGCTGAGATAAGACCAAGACGTCTACCAGCCCGAATGGAGTATAATTAATTTTCTTTTGTTAGGTCAATGTTTATAATTAATAAGATATTTATACGTACAAACTAACAAACATAAGATGTGTATTGATTGAGATAATCAAGTAATCCTTATCACAGAATTCGTTCAAGTTGCCTCATTCAATTTATATGCTTAAGCATCTCTACATATAAAAACGTGTAACCTCACTTGAAATAAAGAAGTATATCAAGGCTAAGTTCCAAGAAGGGTTGAAGGCAGTGTTTATATCCTGCCCCTTCTTTGTAGACTTGCTTGCTTTCCCGGTTCAATCTCACGCCATGCCGTTTCTTACTCGATCGATTGCGCACATTTCAAGGCAGGGCTCTTTAGGTATGTATTTTTACTTCCTCCACCATTCCCGGCTGATACAACTCCATTATAATTTCCTCTATTATATAGAATAAATATTCAAAATGACTCACTAAACTGTCTGTGTTTCTTTGTTATGAAGCAACAATCAATTCATGTAGTTTTCGACGCGATTTTCACTATGGATCATCCGGAAACAGTCTCTTTGTGTTGTAGCACAAGGGTAAGACTGCGTACATCCGACTCTCCCTTACCTCACTAGAGGTAGGAGTCTTTGCGGCACTAGGGTAATGATAATGATGATACTCCATTGGCACTCTATGCTAGCTTTGTATGCTGCTACACGGAAAAAATTACCTTGAATGTCACATGCATAATTATGTATGGAGTTCTCAGTACGACTTGATGTTCTACTTTATTTATTAAAACTAAAAGGCATGCATGATTGCATGCTTGAACTAAAACATTTTGAGTACAGCATATTTGTTTAGAAATGGGAAAATTATCCTCATAAGACTAAAACATTGATGTGTTTCCCCATATATGACTTAGTTATGCTTTTTCCTATTTTGATGGTTCAATATAGATATGGAAACTTTTTGTCCATATCTATATCGAAACGTGATAATTTCGAATCATTTTTCCGTATCTTATATTCCAGGGCTACCCTCAATGAGTCGGTTAATAGATATGAACACTTTTTGTCTCGCTTTCTCGCGAACGATATGCATTACTTGTATGCTAGACACCCATATTAAATATTCTTCCTAAAAACATGGACTTAACAAATGGAGTACTACGTATATCATAAACTCCGTATGAGAAAACTAAGATATTTTAATCAGGATTAGTGTCCATTTTCAATTTTATCTGCATGAATGCAACACAACATGAATTTGTTGCTGCATATGGTAATCATGAAACCATTATTATTGCTCCTATCCTTAATGGCAATATCTAAAATTTATTGAATAGTCTGATAAAATTGATTCTAAATATAAAATTATCACTAAACATTGAGGTGAAAATTTTAGACATACGCATGTATTTACGTGTGGTATAAAGGAATGATCATGTCCAACCAGGGCGGAGTCAAAGCACTAGGCTAGACTGAACCAGTACAAAGAATATTTTTGGTAACAAATTTACACGAAATTTTTTACACTAAAAATGTAGACATTTTTAAAATTTGGGGTGAGCCGGAGGCCAAGGTTGACCCCCTCTAACTACGCCCTTGTGTCCAACCGTCTGGACAAGATTCTTCGTTTTCGATCTCCGCCAAAACAAATCAACCAAAAAATGATGGATAAGCTCTTAACCAAATATCTCAATACGCTTTAATTCAAGTGGAGGGTATTAGTCATTAATTAATATTCCATAATTAATAGTTAATTTTCGCTTGAATTAAATATTAATGACAAAAAATTATATTAATTAATGACTAAGACCAACTCCAACAAGCACCATTTATCACACCAAAATGGTGTATTTGCCAAAAAATGTTCCAACAGTCACTCCATTTTCAACACCATTACACCAGAATGGGAGAGAGGGGGAGAGTTCACGCCATATATGGCGCACACCAAACTTTCCACCATCTTTTTTTTATTTTTATTTTTATTTCAAAAGTGACCCAAAGTTTTGTTTGTTATAGTTTTGACCCATTTTTAAAACAATATCTTAAGATGTTTTCACTTGGACTGAAATTGCTGATCTGCTTTAGTCTGGTGTGATTTGGTCTGTTCTGGTTTGAACTGACGTGGTCAGGTCTGATTTCTTTGTATTTTTATAACTACTCAAGTTTGGTCGAATCCGCTCTGATCTGATCTGGGACAAATCGCAATCCAAGTAAAAACCTCTGTATAGAACAGGTAATTAAAATTATTAATTTGATAGAAAATAATAAAAATATAATAAAATTTAAATCACACAATATTATAAATAGAGTTTCAAATCCAAACAACATAATAACATAATACAAATGATACTTAAGAAAATTACATAATTAAAATTGCAATTAATAACACCATTATAATTAAAATTAAAATATAATTAAAAACATACATAGTACATACTAATTTAGAAATTAGTAGTCATTCAACCCGCTTCCAGATCCTCCAAGACCATCAAATAGATTTCCAAATTCAGTTGATGATCCTCCTTCTTGAGATTTTTTTGTAAAATTCTTGATCTTTCTGCAATGATATACACTCACGTTGGTGGGTCGTGAATAGAATCCAAGTCCATGAGCATAATTTTATCTTCTCTTTTCTGTTCTTGAAGTGGCAGTTGATGAGGCGGCACGGTTTACTCAATTTCTTAACCGACATAATCAAATTCACGACAAGAACGTTCATATTGAGCTCCACAATTGATCATTTGTGGGAACAATTCTCAAATTCCGATAACTAAACTAAGAATATTTATTTAATGTATTGCTTTAAGTTTAACTGTTTAAGTAGTACTTCATTAATGACGTACAAATTATTATAATATTACTGTAATATTTAATTTTATGTGGTTCTAGCTTGTATTTATGAAATATTGATTATTGTATTTTAATTAGTTAAATGCCTGAAAATACATATTAAAATGGTGTATTTTAGTTTGTATGTGTGAAATGTCAAAATATTAAATGAGGGACTAATGTATAAATATATGATAATTGCATACTTAAATAGAAGAATGGTATAAAGATAGTCAAAAGAATAAAAAGAGAAAGATTGGCACGGATATTACTCCTCGGCTTTTGTCAGACGAAAATATGACCGATTTAGAAATTTACGCAAAAGTGACCGGACCAGACTTCCCCTTTCAACCTACGCTTTCTCTTCCCATCTTCCGCACAGCTCCAGGCCTCCAGCATCCAATCTTCCGCCTAATACTTTTCCAGCGTTTCCGTTCAGATCCTCTTCATCTCTTTGTGTCCGTCGTTTCTGTCCATCTTCGCGACTCACCTGTGAACATCTCTATGGCCATCTCCAAAGCTTAGCTTTTCATATCATCAACAACAGAGGCATTGAGCTCGTGGAGTGTCACTGCCGTCCTCGCAACTGTTGGATGGAGCAATTGTTGCAAATGTCAACCCTCTCCCCTGAAATTCAAACCGACATCGCCGCCATCTCCTTCTATAACTCAATCGCAACGAGATCTAACTGTTCAAATGTTGTCTTCCATCAGATCCGTCGTCGACGGCCACATCCGCCGTCGCCGTTCATGTAACGGTTGTTGCAATTCACGGCTAGGGTTCCTGCGTTGCGGATGGGGCTTAGAGGACGGGGAGGCACACTAGGGAGCGGGGCTGGGACAGGAGATGGAATGATGCAGAGGGCAAAGTGTACGGGAGGGGGCCTGTAATTGGAGGGCGTGGGGCAAGGAAGGGGTTGTGGCTGGAGGCGGGGAAGGGAGCTAGGTTGGGAAGGGTGATAGTGGGTAAGAAGTGTGTTGGCGGTGGGAGGTCTGGTGGCGGATTGTGATCGGCGGTGGCGGGTCTCTGTGGCTGAGTCACTTTAGCAGCGTCATTGTGGTCGGAGTCACCATGTCACTATGACGACATCACTGTGGTTGTGTCATGGTGGCCGAAATCACGGTGGCTAGAATTAATGTCACGAGAGGGATGTAACTATATATTTGTCACTATGATAGGTGGTGTCACTGTGATTGTGGTGGTGACCGGCGTCGCCAGTGACACGGGCGGCGGCGGCGGTAGTGATACGGGTAGCAGTGTGACATTCGACAGTGACATGAAAATGTGCAGTGACATGAATAGTTGACTATCACTTTAATTTACTCACATTTTTGTCTAAATTTAAAAAATGGTCATATTTTTGTCCAAATTTAAAAGTGGTCACTTTTTTTGGAAATCGATCTTAATTTATTAATATTCAGGGAAAACCCCCATAAAAAGAGAATATTCCTTTTTGGTGTTGAAAATGGTGTAAACTGTTGGAGATAAAATATTGTATGATGTGATGTTTACACCATTTTAGTGTAAAAAATAGCGTAGAGCGTAATAACAGTGCTTATACCGTGGAACCAGTGCATGGTGAGCACCATGCACCCTTTGTTATTTTTTATTTCTCCTTTTCTTAAAATTGTTAATAATTTTTTTATTTTTGATCCGATTTTTATAAAATTTATATCAAAATATTTTATTTTTCATGATCTTTCAAATGAGACCAATAGAGGCTAGTAAAGTGAAAATTAACTACTCCATATTAACTTCTCCCCGAGAAAATTTGAAAAGTAAGAGAGAGGAAAATGAAGTGGAGAAGATAATATGAAAAGATGCGCTGTAGTTTTAAAATTTAATAAATCAACTACGAATGTTGAATATTAATACCCTAAATTTTAAGCAAATCACATCATTCTTAAAGAGGAAATAATCTAACAAAACATTGCAGCAAAGTATTAGAGTATCTTCAATGCTAAAATGTGCACGGTGCACATGTGGCATGAGAGATAGCCACATAAATATTAATCAATAGATTATCTTTCTCCTTTATTTGAATGATTTTATTTGCAATGTCAACTTCAATGTCAATATCTAGACGGTCTTCTTGACACCGTGGATAAAAACTTATCAAAACTGTATAAAATCATTCATATAAGAAGAGAAAGAATTTATTAACTAATATTTATGTGATTATCTCTCATTCCACATGTGCACCGTGCACATTGTAGCATTGGGGATGCTCTTAGAAACATCAATTTTGAGACTCTTGCTTCTGCATCCATACTCATCGTAATATCATATACAGGTTTATAAATTAATTGAACTCGTAATTATTCTTTTTGGACCAAATAACCCACAATATATAAAATACGAGTTGTTAGATAGGTTAGATCCAGTGCTTATACCGTGCAACCGGTACATGATGAGCACCATGCACCTTTTGTTATTTTTTATTTCTTCTTTTCTTAAAATTGTTATTAATAATTTTTTTTATTTTTGATCCGATTTTTATAAAATTTATATCAATTTTTTTTATTTTTCACGATCTTTCAAATGAGACCAATATTGCCTATGTAATTTTAATTTTTTACATTCATACATTTTTTGTAATATATTTTTATATGCATACACTTTTTCTATAATATATTTTTTTTATCACTTTTATATGTTTTTAGAGGTTTTTAAGATATTGAGTTTGTTTATTTTGCTTCTAGCTTGGAGTTACATTTGATAATATACGAAGTTACATCATCTTAATTATACTCCAGTTACAAGTTATTATGTGTGAGTTACATCTTGTTATGTGTGAATTACATCTTGTTATACACGAGTTACATACTTTTATGCGCGAGTTACATGTAATTATGTGTGAGTTACATCTTGTTATGTGTGAGTTACATCTTGTTATACACGAGTTACATACTTTTATGCACGAGTTACATGTAATTATGTGTGAGTTATATCTAATTATTTTTTACATTCATGCATTTTTTGTAATATATTTTCATATGCATACACTTTTTTCTATAATATTTTTTTATCACTTTTATGTTTTTAGAGGTTTTTAAGATATTGAGTTTGTTTATTTTGCTTCTAGCTTGGATTTACATTTGATAATATACGAAGTTACATAATCTTATACTCCAGTTACAAGTTAAATTATTATGTGTGAGTTACATCTTGTTATGTGTGAGTTACATCTTGTTATACACGAGTTACATATTTTTATGCACGAGTTACATGTAATTATGTGTGAGTTATATCTAATTATTTTTTACATTCATGCATTTTTGTAATATATTTTCATATGCATACACTTTTTTCTATAATATTTTTTTTATCACTTTTATGTTTTTAGAGGTTTTTAAGATATTGAGTTTGATTATTTTGCTTCTAGCTTGGAGTTACATTTGATAATATACGAAGTTACATAATCTTATACTCCAGTTACAAGTTATTATGTGTGAGTTACATCTTGTTATGTGTGAGTTACATCTTGTTATACACGAGTTACATATTTTTATGCGCGAGTTACATGTAATTATGTGTGAGTTATATCTAATTATTTGTGATTTTTTACTTATCTTTATCTTGAACTAATTCAATTATAACTGAATTAATTTCTTTCTTTGCCAATTTAATACAAAATTTTATTAATCCACATAAAATAAGTATATTGTATTTCATATTCATACACTATTTTTCAAATGATACAAATGAAAGATGAAGCAGGGGTTTATTTCGTGGTATAACTCACATACATTAAGATGTAACTCGCGTATATTAAGATGTAACTCGTGTACAATAAAATGTAACGCGCGCAGAAGAAGATGTAACTTCATGATATATTATCAAATGTAACTTCAAAATAATTTGTTAAAATTACATAAGCAATATTGATCTCATTTGATAGATCATGAAAAATAAAAAAATTTGATAATAAAATTTATAAAAATCGGATATCAAATAAAAAAGTTATTATAATTTTTAACAATAAAAGAAATAAAAAATAATGGAATGAAACTACACCTGCGTCGTTTTGAATGAAGCCAACGTCATTTTGCAACCGGGCGCACCATCCTCATGGTGCACCGGTTGCACGGTATAAATTGTCGTTAGATCGGATTTGCAAAAAAAAAAGATAGGTTGGATCAGGAAAAATGACATGTATATTATTAATAGAGCTTTTCAATGTAAAATATGACTAATTATGTTTTTGGGAAAAAGACTAGTCATTGTGCATGAGTAACCGGAGAAGTGTCACCATAGTGTATTTCAGAGTAACAAGTCACTGATAAATGATGAATTACTGAGAACTAGTTAATGAATATGTTTTTTTTTAGAAAATTTTAAAGTAAGGTAGGGTTTGTTTACTAACAGATATATTTTCTCGAATTTTCAGAAAACTAGAAAACTGGAAAAGGGAAAACAAAAAAACGTGTTCACAAAAAAAATGCTGGAAAACTGGAGAAAGAAAACACAAAATTGCGTTTACCAAATCGTTTTCCAAAATAAAAAATGAGATATATCTCAATTTAATTTAGTAATATTTGTGGAGAAAACATCGGATCGGCCGGGTAGTGCGGGTTGGAGCTGTTTTTATACAGCCCTGATGACTGATGAGGGGAAATAGAAGAAGCAAGGTTGAAGATTACTAAATTAAATTAGAGAAGAATGTTTTATATTTTTCCCTCTAAAAACTATATCTAAACACGATTCTGTTCATCTTTAAAAAAAACACGATTCTTTTCATTAAATTCCTAAAATTAGTGCCGTCTAACTACTATTCAAACAGTTAGGTATATATAGCTCCATTTTAATTTAAAAACTGTGTGTTCTTTTAAACTTTTAAAATGTTAAGATACAATTTTACATAATCGTCAATCATAATTAAAATTATTAAACATTGTTTTAATGGTAATATTTAGACCCGCTAAAAGTAAAAATCTGAAGTAAGAATTAGACTCATTTCGCGCCCCATGAATAGAAGGTGGCGGCAATGGAGAGGAGACGGCGGCCGGTTAGGTGGTGCCCATGTTTAGCCGAATTAGACATCAAGAAGTGGACACGGCGGAGAGGGAAGTGTGTTAGCAGTGAGGTAGACTGCTTTTTTCTTCATTTATTCACCGATCAACTAATGAATTAGTGAATTAATTAGAAGTAATTTGAATGAATGGTCTTGAATAAATTTAGGTCATCCATTAGATTGTATTATTGGGAAGCCGCATTTTGTTGATGAAAAGTTGAGTGGCCATTTAAGCCACCGGCTTCCTCCTTTGAGTAGGGCTTCTTTCATTTTGCATTACAATCTCCCATTAAATACATACACATACAATCCTATACCTATATCGTGTATATACATACACATCCATACATGATACATGTATAGGAATATGTATGTGTGCCCAAACTGGCTATCCAAAACAACGTAAGCCGCCCCCGAATCATTATACTTGTATGTCATGAGTGGCAATATGTCCGGGCTTATTGAACCATCTCTCCGGCCAAGTATGAAGCTTTTCATCTTATCTTTCTGTGAAGAACATTTCTTGTTGATGAATGATATAATTATATGTGATATTGTGAAATAAATGGTTTATGTTTTGATTAATGAATTTGCAGGCAGTATGGAAAAAATTGAGCTGGATGAGAAACAAACACGGCTTGAGTCATTCAAGAAGAAGGCCATTAATGCCTCCAACAAGTTCAGGAATTCCCTGACCAAAAGGGGCAGGAGAAACAGCAGAGTGTTTTCAATTGTGATAATGGAGGACGAGCATGATGCTGAGGAAGTCAAGGCTGTTGATGCTTTCCGCCAGGCCCTTATCCTCGATGAATTGCTCCCTTCCAAACACGATGATTATCATTTGATGTTAAGGTCACACTGCCCATTCTCTTTCCCTCTTAAAACTCTATATTTATATATATTGAGTATCCCAGGTTCCCTCTTAAAGACAATGATGCTGTAAAAAGACATGTGCTTCCGATTTTCTCCATTATTTATATATATTGAGTATCCCAGATTCCCATGTCGAATGTCTACTAGGTTTGACGTTGTTGTAATTGTGTGTTGAGGATCCTTTTGGGATGAGTTAGACGGTTAAACCAAATTTAACCATATATATCATATGATGGTGCAGGTTTTTGAAGGCCAGAAAATTCGATGTCGAGAAATCAAAACAAATGTGGTCTGATATGCTCCATTGGAGGAAGGAGTTTGGTGCTGACACAATCATGGAGGTATTATATCTCTTTAATTGAATTAAATAAAAAAAGTGACACATGCCTCGATAAATAATATAGTTAATTGGGATTGAGAATAAAGAAAGTGTTTCTTACGTACAAACGATGCTTTTTAGGAGTTTGATTTCAAGGAGAAGGATGAGGTGCTTAAATACTATCCACAAGGGCACCATGGGGTTGATAAGGATGGAAGGCCTGTGTATATTGAAAGACTAGGTCAAGTTGATGCCACCAAGCTTATGCAAGTTACCACAATGGAGCGTTATATGAAGTATCATGTCCAAGAATTTGAGAGGACCAACAATGATAAAATGCCCGCTTGTTCTATTGCTGCAAAAAGACACATTGACCAGAGCACAACTATTCTGGATGTCCAAGGAGTGGTATGTAATATCAACCGCATATAAGCATTACGATTGAGGTTCCACCAAAGCCCTTAAATGTTGGCTTAACAAGAAACACTATTGTTGATGTTTTCTACTCTATTGTTAACTTCTCTGGAATATGGTTTACTGAACTATTAAATTGTATCAGGGGCTAAAAAACTTCACCAAATCAGCTAGGGAACTCATCCAGGCCATTCAAAAGGTTGACGGTGACAACTACCCTGAGGTGCGTATCTGAATTAATTTTGCTCAATTAATGGATTTTGGTTACATTATTTCTCGATCACTTGGAAGTCATTTCGATACTCTATTTTTCACCATATAGACATTGTGTCGTATGTATATCATCAATGCTGGTTCTGGATTTAGGCTCTTGTGGAACACAGTCAAGTCTTTCCTTGATCCCAAGACCACTGCTAAGATTAATGTAAGTACGCTTTGTTCAAAATCATAAAACTTATGGTTCAATTAAATAAACAAAACAATGACTATAATAGTTACTCTTTTTAATTTCTTTTTTTAAGGTTCTTGGTAACAAGTACCAGAGCAAGTTGCTTGAAATCATTGATGCCAGGTAAATAATCTATTCTATTCAAAAAAAAGGTAAATAATCTATTGGTTTTTTGCTTGTTTGTGCTGGTGTGCGTTTATAGAATCATGTAACAATGATCCTTCGGTGAAAAATTAGAATGAATACGAGTCATGGATTAAAAATATGTTGCAAAATTGTGATTTAAGTGTAACTTCTACTATCACGTAAACTTAAAAAGATTACATTGTCAGGTTTTTTAAAGTGCAGTCATGATATGATAGTGCATTATTCTTGATTGTTTTCATTCCTCATGGAACTTTTTACTTAAATCACGCACACACATACTTGCTCAAATGAGATATCCTTATGATAAATAAGAATCAATAGCAGTAGATTCAAGATCTAAAGACTCGAAATTTCTAAAATACATAAAAATAGATCAAAATGAGATGACATATTTTTAAATATGTTACCGCGAACTGTGCACCGTATTTCCACATTCACACTCCACAAAAAGTACACCTTTTTGCACATTCAAATATCTGCAACTTTATTAAATAAAATAATTTGTCATTTTGAACTTGCAGTGAACTTCCAGAGTTCTTTGGTGGGACCTGCACCTGCGCTGGCAAGGGAGGATGTATGGTCTCGGATAAAGGCCCATGGAATGACCCTGAAATCATGAAGGTCGTGATCCTCACTTGATTATCCCAAGATATTACTTGTTATCCACTTCTCCATCTTTTTGTGTTGCTTGCTTTTGTACTGAATGTGTTAGGTTGTGTGTATTCCAGATGGTTCGAAATGGTGATCATAAATGCTCAAACAAGATGGCCATTCCACCTCTTGTTGAGGAGAAAACTATTACAGAGTGTGAGAGTGCCAATGTTAATAAAACTGCTTCCTTCGCATTGGATTCAGCAAAGAAACTCCCATGTGTTCAAGAGGAAGTAAGTTGAAGATTAAAAAAGGCTTCAGGCTGAAAAATATATATTAATTGCTTACTTCAATTGAATGATATACTAATATAATGACAATCTTAATCAATCCCCACTGTGTCACGGTCTTTGCATGGATTTTAGTCTACCAATTAATGACTTGTAATGTCCCAATATATCTTAATAGTTACTATTCATTCAACCAACTTCCCAAATATAAATTAATAGTTACTATTCATTTTTCAATTGAATAAAACTTTGAAATATAGTTTCTAAATATGTAAAGTGTGCTCATTAACACTAATTTATGTGTTACTAGACAAGAATTAAATTTAGCCTCAAACATCATAGTTTGCAAAATGAAATTTAGTATGTTGAAGTAGTATACAAAATTAGTTTTCTATATAGATTCATGCAAGAAGCGTAAAGCTATAAACGTTGTTCCTTACATAGTGGGTGATATGTGGATAAATTCCGTATGTGGGATACTTTATATATCATTCTTACTCAAACAAATACCGAAATGCAGGTGAGCCAACCAAATGAGTACACCCCAACTGTGGACAAGAATGTTCATGCGAGTTGGTCCAAGGCACTAAATACAGTAAAGGGTGACAACTTCAGTGTTGCAAAAGGTACTCTTCTCATTCCTATATAATGTTTTTGTTTCCCTTTTTCATTCATTCTACTAATGATAAAGGCATACTCTTATGTAATCTCACGCCTACCAAATACAAAAGGATAAACTTTCATATAAAGCCAACCACCTTGCATTGTTTCTATTATCAATTGCAACCTTGTTATCTAATCTTATCCTTGGTACTTCCATTTACTTTACCACTCATGTTATACCCTCACACACTACCATCATTACTCAGAACCACTAATCTAAGGGTAATCCTTGAGGTCAAATAGTCGAGTCTTGGAATTGTACTAGACTCTACCTATGTGATTAAATTCTACCTTTTAGTGTAGTTTGACTCGCGTGGATTATGACCCAATTATGAATTATGTATATCATTATTTCAGCAGCAGATTTTTACACAGCACATGATGCGTGCAAGTCAGCAGACAAAGGAAGCCAACTGTTCTCAAGCATGATGACATTCGTGATGGGGGTTGTGACAATGGTGCGTATGTCACGCCACATGCCAAGCAAACTCACAGATGCGACATTCTATTCCGGCTCAATGCGTGATGGGATGGTTAAGGTGAGCGAACCTCCAGCTGCTGTCTCTGTCACGGAGTATTTGAGCATGATGAAACGTATGGGCGACTTGGAGGAAAAAGTGATCACTCTCAGCAAGAAACCATCCACCATGCCGCCCGAGAAGGAGGAACAGCTAAGCAATGCTTTGAATCGTGTTGATGCTTTGGAACAACAACTTGCTGCCACCAACAAGGCTCTTGAGGAGGCTCTTAGCCATCAAACTGAGATTCTCGCGTATCTTGAGAAGATGAAAAAGAAAAAGAAGTTCTTTGGCTTCTGAATTCATTAAGAATGCATAAACGTATTGTATTTTGTATGTGTGTCGTAAGCAACCCAATGGTTAGATACTCTCATATTCAAGGAGAAAATTGATGGATGAAATTCACTCCTTGTCTTATTTCAATTATCTTTATGTATGTTGTTAAGTGAAAAGCTTTATATAAAATGTATACATCATATATGTTAAGTCAAGAATGGTTTTGCTCGAGTAAAGATCGGTACACCAGAGTTACGCTTGGGTTTAAATAATACTCCGTAAAGAATTTAAAAGCGAAAATTATAGGACGGTAATGGTCTATAGTTACACATTCTTACAATTGTGTGTGCTTTGTAAAAGTGCACAAGTACCTTTGATCAGATGAAAATACTTTATTGGACCAGACTATTTTTCTACTGTCTACATGTTGAGTATTGTGCAATATTATACCTAGTAAAACAATTTATTATGTAGAAAATTGTTTCATCCATAACATTTTCTATATGACCTGATTTTCATCTGAATTCAACCTTGGCTTGTTAAATTTTTTAGCTCACAACCAAGCTTCAACTTCACTCGTTGAGTCGTTTCAAGCTTAAACTCGAGCCTCATCAATCACACACAAGTTCACACAACCCATACATAATTGTGCAAGGAATATTGCAACTTCAAGTCGTCTAACTAGTGTGATAACTATTCTTGGTATCCATCTTAGAAGTAAAAGAATTTTTGTTATTTTTGTTAGAGTCGAGTGACGGTTTTATCCTAATTACAAATCCAAATCTGGTTTTCGAGCCACCAATAGCTCGACCCCAACTCATTTAACAAATAAACATGCCAAACTCAAGTCATGGCAAGTCGAAGTTAAATTTAAGTCAGTCATTTGTGATTTTTGTATAGCAAGTCTACTTACACCTAGCTTTGTTCTACTTGATTGTTATAAATGATATTTCATTCCATTATGACGTGTGTAAAAAATGATATTTTATCGTAATTTGACTATATATGGGCCATTTTCTTGTTCATGCAGATTAAATTATCCATGAAGATGCAATAAAAAAAACTACAAATATATGTTTCCAGAACACAACAGTCAACAGGCATATATACCACAATATTCAGTACATTTTGTTTCACAATGGTATGGTATGAACTATGATGTAGTCAAAGGTACAATGTTGCCAAATAGCTGTATATTAAAAAAGTAAAAAATAAAATAAAAAATGAATCTCAATCCAGTGTACAGTCGAAGAACATATGAAGCTCCATGAGGGCCATAGGCGGAAGAAGACCTTAGAAGCAAAACTTCTTTTTCTGCAAAAAAGACGATTGATTAATTAAACCAAACAAAACTGAACTTCAAAGTTCAAAATCAGTCGTAGATGAAAGCTGGTAAACATATACCCACCCTGTACTTGGCTTCTTCTTGTCTATCAATGTAGGCAAGAAGTTCCTCTTGCCTCATCAAAGCCTCATGTAAAGCCTGTTCAGCAAAAAAAAATGAGTTAAGGAGACTATTAAATTATGTTGCTTTTGTAGAGAAAGTCCTTATAAACCACCATATACCTTCTTGGTGGCAATCAACTCGGCTTCCAAGGCATCAACTCGGCAAACAGCAGCATTTAGCAATTCCTCTTTCTCATTGGGCATCTCAGATGGTTTTTCTTGAATTGAAATCACTTTCTCTTCTAGTTCCCCCAACTTCTTGAGCACGACAGAGAGAAGTTCAGTTTCTGTATATGCTGGAGCTGGTGAAGGAGGTCGAAACTCTTCCTTAGCAATTGGTAGAGTTTGGTCCTTGGGAGGGGAGGATTCTTCCGGAAGTTTTTTTGTCACACGGAAGGCCACCGTACGGAAAAAAATGAAAATTGTCATGAAGAAAGCCATAAAAGCTCCTAAAAGCCGTGCATAGAGTCCATTTCTTGGGGTCTTTTCAGTACACAAATAATCATCTCTATGTTTCATATTTGAACCTTTGGAGAAGGGGTTATGAATAGACGTGTCTTGCTTCCAACAAGAATCAACAGTCTTGTCAACCACGGGAACATACTCATCATATCCTGGGAAGTTGTTCATAACTCTTGCATGTTTCTTGGCATGAGGAAGACACTAGGATATAACAAAAAGAAAATGATATGAATATCTCACTAGACGAAAAACACTCGTCGCGTATTTGCTCAAAAGCATGTAAAAGGAGAATACCTCTTCACGAACAGGAGTAAGCTGTGGATGTGAAAAACTCTTCATAGCTTTTGGTGAAACAATATCTTCGGCTTCAGACCCCGACTCCGCTGATGTATCACAGCCTTTTACCTGGTGAGAAGTATTATGCACATAAAAATGACATTCACAAAAAAGCTACTACCATTCCCAAAGAAAACACTCGTATTGATCAATGTACAACCTTTTAATTTGGTAAGAGACAATTCTTGTAAATAATTCATTAATTATACTCATAGTTTCAAAACTTACTTGTTAATTTAACTAGGTTTATTATATGTAACTTGTCGCTGACTCTTTTTTGGAAAATTACATGAAAACTGGAGTTTGTGTTTTATCAAACACGACTCTTTTTTAGGACAAAAAAGTGTTTGATAGAGGAGTTTTTTTGGAGGGGAGGGAATCATAATATATGTAGCACCATATATATACACAACAGGAGGATGAAGAGTAAAAGGAGTACCATTGGGAAACGCGGTTTAGCATAGACTACTTTCCCTTCACTGTTTAGAACTTTTACAACCTGCTTGCAACGCCGTGTTTCACCAACCATCTGCAGGCAGCACGTAGAGAGAGCATGATGTCATTTCATTGTGTTACTGAAGAGCATAAACCAGGAGAGGACAAACATAAAAGTAAGAACACTGGCATTCAGTTACACCTTCAAAATTGCTGGATTTTTCCACGGCCCTTTATCAGAACGGAGACACCCTCCTTGATCTGAACATGTACAAGTTCCACCCAGAAATTCTGGTAACTCGCTATGTACACAAGAAGATAGAAGTCAGTGTAGTCTTTTCAAATGAAAACTGAAAAAACTTAGAGCTCGTTCGGTAAGCTTTACTCTGATCTTATCATTACTGTCATTGCGCTTGATGAATTGGTGGCTAGTGAACAGTAGTGCAAGACTCACTTTTTGGTGGAAATTAATACCTCCATACTTTTAGCTTTGTGTTTTACATATTTTCTTTATTATATGTGTGTGTAAATAATTCTTTTAGATAGTTCAACAGATTCACCCGTTTGAATAAAAAATTCAGCAATTTCAGATACTTCATGCTTTACCAAACAGGCTTTTATTGAAAATGAAAGCACGATGGAAGCAATTCACAAGATTCATTCACCTAGCATCTATGATTTCAAGCAACTTGTTTTGATACTTGTTCCCAAGAACCTGTAGAATTGAACTGTTAGAGTAAGAAGGTAAATTCCATTGCATTTCGGAAGAATATCTATAGTTTTTTTAAATGAACATACATGAATCTTGGAAGTGGTCTTAGGATCTAGAAAGCTCTTCACTGTATTCCATAGCAATTTGAATCCTTGACCAGCATTGATGATAAACATCTGATGGAGTGTCTGCCAAGACACCAAAGAAAACAAAACACAATTATTATGATTCATTCAGATAATAGTAATTAGAGCAGCACACATGCTAGCTAGCTAGTCAGGACTAGGAACAGAACATACTTCAGGATAATTATCACCATCAATTTTCTGCAACTGCGTGATGAGCTCCCTAGCATTCTTGGTGAAATTTTTGAAACCCTGAAAATGTGGAAATTGGGGTGAGAAAAAAGTATGATAGTCATATGATTCAGAGAGATGAAAGGAACTGACCACTCCTTGAACGTCCAAAATAGTTGTGCTAGAGTCTATGTGCTTCTTTGCAGCAATTGTGCAAGCTGGAAACTTGATGGCAAAAGTTTTTTCGAACTCTTTAACGTGGTATTTTACATAACGGTCCAATGTTGTCACTTGCATAAGTTTGTTAGGGTCAACTTTTCCAAGCCTCTCGATATATACAGGTCTTCCCTCTTTGTCAACCCCATGGTAACCATGTGGGTAATAGTTTAAAACCTCATCAATCTCTTCGAACTCAAAGTCCTGATGAAAAATATATTAATGATGGTAAATATTTCATTACATACTTGAACAAAAAAAGATGGAGATTTCTTCAATTATTGGGATGACAATTACCAGAAGAAGTGTATCAGCACCAAACTCTTTCCTCCACTGGATCATATCAGCCCACATGTTCTTTGCTTTCTCAATGTCAAACTTCCTTGCTTTCAGAAACCTGAAGCAACAAATATGCATTAGCCATTAAGGATCGCACAACTTTTTCTTTTCTTTTCTCATATTTTACACTCGATATATTAATATATTTTTTATTGTGATTTTCAAAAAAAATTGTGTTTAAGGCTGATAGGAACTTAAAGAAAACATTGAAGTCAATTCACGCATACAACGTCAAGGACCAATTTTAACCTAGAGACAGACATCAAGGATATATCGTCACCTTTTCCCAATTAATAAAACTAAGTGAAACTATCAAATACCGCTACAACACTTCCAAAAAAGAGTTGGTTGCATTTAAATAAATCCATTAAAATGAAAACGAGAGGTTTACCTCAACATCATGTAATAGTCATCGTGTTGCTCCATCAACAGTTCATCCAAAATCAAAGATTGTCTAAATGCATCGACAGCTCGAAGCTCTTCGACATCCCGAATATCCTCAATTGAGACAGAGCTGCAGCGCCCATCGTTATTTCTTCTTTTGCTCTTCTTCTTTAGGGAGTGTCTGAATCTTGTCGATGCACTCAGAGCTTTCTTCTTGAGAGAACTAATTCTTGTCTTTCTCTCATCCTCTGAGCACTCAAAATCAGATTTCCTTTCCCGACGCTCATCATTTCCAGACGATCCCTCAAAGCCTGAACAGTAAGTTGCTCTCTTAGCCTTGATGAGCAATTGTTTCGTTTGGAAACCCAGCATTTTTTTTATATGTCAGGCCTAAAACTCTAGAGCTAATCATCTTAAAATGACTATTGATTTTCATTTTCATTTACCCCAGTGCCGCAAAGGCTCCCACCTACGGTGGGGTAAGGGGGTCGGATGTACGCAGTCTTACCCTTGTACTAAAGCACAGAGAGACTGTTTCCGGATGACCCATAGTGAAAATCCCGTCCAAAATTGCATGGACTGACTGCTGCTTCATAACAAAGAAGCGCAGACAGTTTAGTGAGCCATTTTGCTTTATTCCATCATAATCTCAAGCCAAAAAATAATGAATCTTTGGCTCCATTGCAAATGATGGAAAATTAAATTGACTATTGATATGCTTTATTAATACCACCAATTCTTTCTTGTTCATCGTGTTTATCAGCACAGATTGAGTTATTCCAGAATACTCAACAGCAACAAACTGCGCATACCTACAGGCTACAGCTTACATATATGGAAACTTAAAAAAAAACAAATGGGGCAGTTTTTTCCTTGAAGATTAAACTAATTTGAAAACCATCACCCTTAGAATGTTGTCAGATCTTTTGGGGCAGTTTGTAAAAGTTTTGTCAGATCTTTTATGTGTTTTCCTCAACTCCCAGTCCAGCATATTTGGATTATTATTCATTCCTCATTGTGATTGCAAAGATAACGAAAAAATACATCCTCTATTCATATCAGGGAATAACTCAAAACAAGGCATGGGAAAGAATAAAAAGATTCCCATACAAACAAAGATTTCTCTGGCCGATCAACTATTTTAAAAAGTAATCATCCATATTCCCTAAATCCCTACTACACGAAGAAATTCTCAAGAAACGCATTTCTCCTATTCAATCCCCCACCCAAAAAAACCCACCTAAAACGAAGACTAGCTACATGAGCTCAAACAACCCTAAGTGTCAGCAAAAAGTAATCATTGATAACATCAGACAACAACGCAATTCTTGTTTCTACATAGATTCAGATCATTTTCTTCTTCAATTTGAAAAAAAAAAGTCAACTTACAAGGTCTTGCGAAGCGATCAAGAGGTCCGGACATGCTCGTCGCCGATCACCCCGCCAAAAAACAGAGCGCGTGAACCGCAAAAAAGAAACCCGAAATTGAGAATACAAAATATCCAAAAGCCCTAGCTTGCAAGGACCTTTAGCTGCAGCAACGAGAAGAAAGCGCGGCCTTTTTAGAAATGTAGAAATGCAGATGTTGATCGGACGGCAATAAATATCTCAAACGGTAACGGGTAAGGGGTGGCGAATTAATGCTGGGAATAATTTATACTCCACAGTAAGCAAAATGAGAACAATTTGATTTTTTCCCTGGATAAATAAAATAAAAATAAATAAAAGTCGCATTAAAGCGGCGATGTTGTACCTACAGAAATAGTATGTACCTCCAGCTACAGCGTCGGCAAAGAAGAGGCGAGGAAGAAAACATATCACAGGGGCAGGGATGGGTAGTTTGACTTTTGAATCTGGTTCGTAGAATAATGCTAAATACATATCGATGATAAATATACGGAGTTTATAGATATGATTAAAATAGTAATGAATAAATGCAGAAAGTGCCACGTACTATGAATCTGCAGCCAAAAATTCCAAAACAAGATCTAATAATTCAACGACGGAAGGGGTGATGATTGAAAAGACAACCGCTAATGATTACCAGTAGTGTTTTGGTCCGTGTTTCCAGCGGGAGTTGCTTAAACCATCCCAAATTGTGCTCCAAAACAACCATTCTTGATGTACACACTCTTGTACGTAACTTATACACATTATATTTGTGAAGATTTTTTTTGTCTGTGAATCCGGTTCACAGACAATGTTTTGTTTGTGCAAAACATTGTCTGTGAATCGATGTTCACAGACAAGAAAAAAAGCTTTCACAGACATAGGTGTGTACAAAAGTGTGTATAAGAGTGTGCACAAATATCATTTTTGGCTCCAAAAACACACGGAGTATTCTATCCGTGTTTGATGTTTCTCCCCTCTTTTCTCGATTTGATTTGCAAAATTTTGTATTTAGATTTTTTTAAAATTATTTTTCACTTTTTCTATTTTAAATATGTAAATAAGAATAAAGTGACAAATTTATATTTACTTTTACTTTTTTTCATTAACTTAAAAGTATCTACTTTTAGGAAGACTAACAAAAATGTAAAAAGTAAGATCATTTATTATCATGTCTTAATCCTTGTGTCAGTCAAAGTTTGCAATTCAATTCGAAACAGATGGATGGAGTATCTTTTTGTCCCGCTCAAATAGAAGTTGGACCCATTTTCTATTTGATCTGAAATATGTATTTCATCCCTATGATTTCAATAGGTTTTTCACACAAGGTGCACTATAATCTTATAAGTTTATTAGATACATTGTATTTTATAAAGGGAAAAATAATTAAAATACTCCAACTTTGAAAGGGTGTGGAGTATGCATATTTAAATTATATACCCCAAATTTATATAAAAAAGTTATTTTTGCACCATGGTCATTTATTATTTCTTTCAAAAATGTTAATTTTTAGTGTTAATTTAATAATTTAAAATATTTTAGCATTCATGGAAATACAATTAACATTCTAAACTTCCATTGTAAAATAAATAGTATTACCCCCACCCCCACCCCACTCTATATAATTGCAACGTTTTCAATTTGCTATTTTAAATTTCTGCAATTAACATCATAAATTTATATTTGAAATAAATAATATATGACCATGGTGTGAAAATAACTTTTAATAAAACGTTTGGGGTATTTAAATTACATATGAAAGTTTAGGGTGTTTATATCACACCCCTTCAAAGTTTGGGATATTTTAATTATTTTTCCTTTTTATAAAAGACAAAAGACTCAAATAAGCCTTATACTATTGACGATTATGGAACCAAATTTCTGAATCGGAAGACCTTACATATATATATATATATATATATATATATATATATATATATATATATATATATATATATATATATATATATATATATATATATATATATTGAAATAAAGAAATAAATTCATTTTTACCTATCAATGTTGGTGACTTCTTACGACAGACTTGTCGTCTCGCCGGGACCAACAGGTAAAAAAGGTTCCAGTTACTTTATTTCAATAGGTGAAGGGGCGTATTTGCAAGGTCTTTATGTTCAAGGGTCTGGTTGCACAATCGCTAAAGTGATGAACTTATTGAAGTGTTTGAACTTATTGAATTGTTGGAATTGTTGTTAAATATGTTTTTAATTGGATTATAACTTCGTTGCTTGGTCGGGTCTGATTCTGTGTAGTCTGATTTGGTCTGAACTAATCTGATCGGTAGATGTTTGTTTTAAGTGCATTTTTAAATAGTCAAAGTTTGGTGAGGTGTGTTCCAAATTGATTCGAGCTGGTTTAATCTGATCTGATGTATGATTAAAACTCGTTCAATAAAAAAGATCATGCATTAGCTAATAAATTGATTATATCTACTCAAATAATTTTTTTAAATATATTTGTAAATAAAATAAAAAATAAGTGAAAACGGATAAAATAATTTTCAAGCTTTAACCATTTCTTCAAAAAACCGTTTCAAGCTCACATTTTCACTATTAATCACAATAGGGGTGTTTGGAAATGACGATTCCACCCCTTTTAACGTTTTCAATAAGTGAAAATGTTGTTAGGTAAATAATTGTTCGGTACTAGCGTTTTCTGAACGGAATCGCTGAAATGGAAACGTTGCAAATACGAGAACTTTTGATCGGCATTTTGAAATATGACCTAATCTACTAATGGTTCTGGTCAAGCAGTTACATTATCAAACATTTTCTGGCAATCTGTCAACTTATTTCGCTAGTCAAACTCACTGACTATATTCGCTATTGACAACCCGTTAATACAATCTATTAACCGCTAACCGTTAAATGTCAAATACGCCGTAAAGTCCAACCACACCCCATTTAAGAGCTATAAAGCTATTACATGTATATACTTCGTATAATTGTAATTTATAAATACTACGGAGTATATGAACTCTCGTGAAGAGAGGAGGTTGCGCACAAGCTCTTCTGCCCATGCTATGCTGTAAAGTCTTTTTAACTAGGGGTGTAAATGAGCCAAATCGCTCGTGAGATGCTCGTGGATCATTCGGGAAAAAGCTCGACTCGAGTTCGGTCATTTTAAGCTTGACTCGAGTTCGGCTCGACTCGAATAGTTAACAAGCTCAATTCTAGCCTATTTATTTTAGGCTCGTGGCTCACAAGCCTTTGTGTCATATTTTATGCATAGTGTATAATAATTATATATGTAATGGTTATATATATGTATGTATATATACTTTTTTGGAATATGTATTCTAATTTAGGACTATTGCATTTTCAATACTTATCACGAAGTATAGTATAATAGTAATAATTAAAAAAATAACATGCAGTACGTAGTATTACTATTATTACCATAATCTATAATAATTATAATATGTACCCGACTACCCGTAATATCTACTGACGGTAAAATAAATAATAAAAGTGTCAGCAAAGGAGAGATAAACTAAAAATTAGAATGAATAAGTACACATATTATATTTTTAGCTCGAGTCCGAGCACTTTATTCTGTTGGAAAACAATAAAAGGGGCCTAATATGTAATTAATTAAAATGTGTTTACCATCAGATAAATAATACAGTGGTCATTCATGAAATAATAAAAGTGTAGATACCAGGATAATATATTTCTTTTGGTGACGGGTCAAATTAAATATATTATACTAAAGTGATACAACGGTTATGACCCCCGGTGCGTGTAAATTAAGAGATAACAGTAAAGATATTGTAACGGAAAATGGCCTAATAAATTATTCTAAATAATATCATTATTGCAACAATAATTAAGGAATTATTATTAGGAATAATAAGAGCCAACCGTTACAATATTGAACTAGTCCTATATATATCCCATCTATTATAGGATTAGGATATCTCATAAGCTACATAGCATTGGAAGGTTAGGCCGATCAATCGTGTTGGATTCCTAAGTCTTCCTAAAGTGTTAATGCAAATGAATTCTCAAGGTATTGTTCTAATCTTATTTCATACATATTTGATTTCATGGATTTATATGGATTTAGCTATTATATATTTATATATATATTGCATATGGAGCCTTGTTGATATATATATATATATATATATATATATATATATATATATATATATATATATATATATATATATATATATATATATATATATGAATATCCATCAATTGGTATCAGAGCCAACCATTATAGATCCATGGAATTTTTATGAATCCGATTTCATTGCCTAATCTATAGTCTGGATTTTGAAAGTTGATGTTCGAAAGTTTTCTTGTTTAGTCTTGAGCATGTTTATTGAGAAAAGAACTATTTCACATGCCTAGAAACGCTTATCTGAGATGAATCGGTTTTCTTTCCGCCGCTTGTTCATTCGTACCGATTCATGCCTCAAGTTTATATTGATAGTTCAAGGCTTTAAATTCCTTTACTTGCATATGACATCATATAACTAGCATACATATATGTTTTTGGTGCCATTTAAATCCTTATCAAGTTTAATGTATATGATTTTTTTTAATATGTGGCTTAATTCCAATTCAAGCTTCTATAAAGTGGATTTATTCTAGTCATGTGACAACCATTTATGCCACAACATTGATATAATTCTCAAGATAATTGTGTTTTTTAAAATCAATATCCAAGCATACCTGATTACATGCTGCTCAATTGCTACGGATTGGAGTAAATGATTTTTTTTTTCTCCACCAAGTTCTGGCGACTCATATGGCAGCAATTTTTTTTTTCCAACAGTTATGCCAAGTTGTATTGAATTGTTGAAATACAATAATTAATCATGCAACGTTTTGTTTTTTTTAACAGTTACTTTCATTACAATTAATGAAGTAATTTTATGAATTAAGTCAATGAAACGTCCATTGTTGTTGTTCATGTGCAAATTCTTGAAGTTATTTGCCGCACTTATTTTTTGGAGTGCTGTAATATATATTTTTGAAGGGGAATTGTAAAATGAAAGGAAGTTTAGTATTTAAATGGGAATATAGAAACAATATGTCACCAAAGTGATCCTATTGTGTAAAGTTGCTCATATAAAATATTAAACATAGTCCATACTTTGTATATAGTTCAAGTAAATATTAATCGGCCCAAAGGAAGATTAATATTTTATCAAGTCACATATATACATTTTGGTAATAATATAAATATAACAATTATAAAGTTACACTTTAAAAGAAAAAGTCAACCCAGAGGTGGATTTTTCTTTTATATGTATTATTGTTATATTTTATTATTACAACAAGAGTACCGCTAGCAATTAGTATTATTGTCCAAAGATGAAATACTAATGGTGCATTTGGTATCTTGTGATGGGTTAAATATCATTTTACAATTTCACTAAAATATATGTTTATTGTCTTGTTCTTTCAACATTTAATTTTTCAAGCATATCTGTCAATCTCAACTCCATCCCTATCCTAAATGGTACTAATTTTAAGGAATGGAAAGAAAATATTCTAATAACTTTGGGCTGCATGGATCTTGACTTAGCATTAAGGGTAGAGCAACCCGCTTCTCTTACGGATGCTAGTACCCAAGATGAAAAAAGATACTATGAGAAGTGGGATCGCTCGAATCGCTTAAGTCTTATGATCATTAAGCGTGGCATTCCAGAATCCTTTAGGGGTTGCTGTATCCGATGAGGTTACTAATGCCAAGGATTTCCTTTCTGAAATTTAGAAACGTTTTGTTAAAAGCGATAAGGCGGAAATAAGCATGTTGTTAAAAGACTTTACTTCCAAAAGGTATTCAGGAAAAGGAAATATAAGGGAGTATATTTGTAACACCCCGGGGCCCCACACGGACCCGAGGTAGTTAAAGGAAACGTTACATAAACTTACTACTATATAAAAAAAAAACTGCAATATAACGGCCGTTTGTTTAAGAAATAACCCTGATAAAA